CTGGGGCAAGAGATGCTCTGTATTCTTGGTGCTTGGTGGTGGTGGGGAACAGTGGGAGGGCTTCTGGTGTCCTGACCCCACTGCTGGATCTCCTGATGGCCCCTGGTATTTTTGGCCCCATGTAACAGAGTGTTGGACTGGAGGGGCCATCGTCCTGAATCCAGCATTGGCTTCTCTTATGTTCTTATGTCTGGGGCAAGGGATGCTCTGTATTCTTGGTGCTAGGGCTTCTGGTGTTCTGGTCCCACTGCCAGACCTCCTGAGGGCACCTGGTATTTTTGGCTGATGTGTGACACAGAGTGTTGGACTGGATGGGCCACTGGCCTGATCCAACATGGCTTCTCTTATGTTCTTATGTCTGGCACAGTGATGCTCCTGGAGTTTTGGCCCTGCTGGTGGACCTCCTGAGGGCACCTGGGTTTTGTCCAGTGTTTCCTCTAAGTGCAAGGTAGCTAACAGTTTTTTCGCCTCCGGCTCATACATTTTTGTCTTAGCCCAGGAAAGATGCCTCCAGAACAAACTAATTTATGCAGTAGCCAAATTGCTCACTCATAGCTTTAATGCCAGTCGCTCACAAAGGAGCATCCCGGGATGTGATATCAGAGTCATGTGACAAGGCCAAGGACAAGAAACAAAAAACAGTCATCAAGAGGTTCCGGTGATGTCAGGGGGTGTGGCCTTATGACACACTTCCGGTGATGTCAGGGGGTGTGGCATATGCTAATGAGTTATGCTAATGAGCTCCGGCAGCTCTTTTTCTACAAAAAGACCCCTGGTCCTGCCAAAGCTGAGCTTGGAACTCTGACCTCCACACACCACACTCGGTCTCATAAGCTGGTGGTGGTTTCCTGGCAAGTGGTGCAGAGCTGGGAATGGATTGTGGCACCAGTTTTGACCGAGGGCGTCCTTCTAGTTTCAGCATCTTTTTTCCGGCAATGGTCTGCCAGAGGGCCTGGGACACCCACTCAGAACCCATGAAAGCACCCGCCTTCCCCTGTTGGTAGCTTCTTCCATGGAACCCTCTGAACAGAAAGCTTCCAATTTCAGTATTCTAGCTGATAGCTGCTGGTAGATTTCTCCTTCATGAATGTTTCTACTCCCCCCTTAAAGCCACCTAAACCAATTTACCATCCTGTCTATTGTGGGGAGGAAAAGGGAAAGGAGATTGTAAGCCTCTCTGAGACTCGTTTGGGTAGTGAAGGGCAGGCAGGCTATAAATCCAATCTCCTCCTCCTCCTCTTCTTCACCATCACCATCATCATATGCTAGAAGAAGAAGAAGAGTTGGTTTTATATCCTGCTTTTCACTACCCAAAGGAGTCTCAGAGCGGATTACAATAGCCTTTCCCTTCCCCTCCCCACAACAGACACCCTGTGAGGTAGGTGGGGCTGAGAGAGCTCTAAGAGAACGGCTCTCTAGAGAACAGCTCTAAGAGAACTGTGACTGACCCAAGGTCACCCAGCTAGCTTCATGTGGAGGAGGAGTGGGGAATCAAACCCGGTTCTTCCAGATTAGAGTCCACGACTCTTAACCACGACACCAAACTGGCTCTGGTAAACGTTTTAGAGGTCATGTCCTCTATTTTTGGTGTCTGTTCTATTTTGGGGTCTTTTTAAAAAAAACTGATGAAAATGTCCTCTTTTTGGGTTGAAGGTTAGGAATATTCGTAGTTAGTAGCAGTGATCACAGCGTCAATAGTAGAGGTATTTATAAGGAGATTTGTCATAGTAATTGCATGTTTGAAGCAGTCAGTTGGGAAATATGTCCTTTTTGCTTTTCAAAATATGGTAGCCCTAGCATATACTTATTTATGTATATTATTTATAGTCTGCCTTTTATTACTGAGAATCCAGTGGGATTACATAATATAAATCAGCACAATCAACGGGACGAGGAGACATCTAATAAGCAATGTAATAGGACTAGGTTTGCAAAAGTCTGAAACAAGGCATAAGTATTAAGTTTGACACGTTAATGTGAGAAATGGTATTTCATAACTAGAGATAAAACCCAGCAAGAGCTAGATAAAAATATACATCAGCAGATAATACATAGTAGTATAGTCTGCAGTCCTGTGTTTATACGTCTTCCTGAATCGTTCTGTTACAATGCACCCGTTACCTTTATAAGAATGGCCTCCTGAATAGTTCTGTTTTACATAGTTTGCAGAAAGCTGAAAGTGTGGGGATCTTCCAGATCTCCTCAGGCAGGCCATGCCATAGTGTGAGGGCTACTACAGAGAATGCATGTGTCTAGACAACTGTTGATCTTGCCTATTTACAGCGTTGCCTAAGCTACTCCATAATAACAAGGCATTAGTCCTTTGGGACCAATTTTACATTGAAATATTCTGGCTTGATTAGTTTGTGTGTGGCTGATTTTCATGACTTTGGGGGTCCCATGTTGACTTCCACTGACCCTCAAACCAGGCTAGTGAATGCTGAATCTTGTGTTTGGTGTAGGATTCCCTGTGCTCTGGGGTGGGACTCTTAGATTGTTAGAGTCACTGGTATGGTACAGCCAGGAATCTCTAGACGTAGCAGAGTGCACGAGGCTTACACGCAGCAGCAGCAGCAGCTTCTCCGTACTGTGTGTGCTAGCAAAGTTACAGAGTTACACGGAGCCACTTGTCAGTTTCAAACTAAGAAGAATCCTTTATTCAAGGGACGACATTCTAAATAGTGCAGGTTGAGAGATAGGGGTAGAATCTAATCTAACTGGATAGATGGATGCAGATAGAGAATGTGTGGCCTGCATCTGTAGTGGCAAAGATGGAGAGCAGTGTGCTCCTTTGTGTGTGTGAGAGAGAAGGTGTCAAACCAGAAAGAAGTCTCCTCCCTAAGAATAGCATTCTACTTCAAAGGGATAGTATCAGATAGCAGGAAGGAAAGGATGCTCTGTGTGTGTCCCGACCTCTCTGTCTCTAAATCTATGGTGCTGTCTCTGAAGGCTGAGGCAGGGGACAGCAAATACCCCTCCACTTCCCACACAGATTTCACGTTTTGTTTCATCAGGTCCTCCTGGTCTGGATGGAACGCCTGGTTTCAATGGCTCCGATGGAATTCCTGGTATCCCCGGGCAAAATGGAGAACCCGGAAGACGAGGGAAACCAGGTATGTTTCCATGTGGGCAGTATTTTCTCCATCATCTCCCTTTCCCCCTCTCCCAGTTCCTTGAGGCTGGCTCCAAACTCCAGAAACATCACGTGGTATAGTCCTCCTTTGTACCATTCCAGACTGCATGCAGAGGATGGCTTGTTGGACTGGTCCCCCCCCCCATCACGATCTCCCTTCACACGAGAAGCTGCCATTTTAGGGAAATTAATAATTGTTAGAACTGGGCCACAGATTTTAATAGTTGTTAGAGCTGGGCCACCAGACGTCTGTTTTATTTTGCTGCGACAAACAAACACAATCCCCCCCCCCCCCGGGGGCAACCGGGTTTTGGGCATTGAAATGTATAATCTGCCCTTCACTTGGGGCAATTTCGCACCAGAGCTGCCTCGCGGTCCAGCCGCGGTTGGCCCCGACACTATTTGTCAATTTCACACCCGAGGCTGCGGGGCTGCATTTGACCCGCAGCTTCGCCCGATTTCCTCCGCAGTTTCGTGATCCTCAAAAACCAGGATCATGAAACTGCGGAGGAAATCGGGTGAAGCCACGAGTCAAAATGCAGCCCCGCAGCTTCGGGTGTGAAATTGACATGTTTGTGTCGGGGCAAATGGCGGCTGCGCAAAATCTCTAGTGCAAAATCGCCCATAGTCTTTCCAGGTGAGGGGGAGCCAGTGGCTGGCTTGAGTGGGCTTAAGGGCCCCTCTTTTTCCCGGGGATATATTCTTGAGTCTGTAGTTGTAATAGTATGCTGATCAGTGGCAGTGGCCGATAATGAAACATCTAGCAAAGGAGGTGTAAATCAAGGGTTAATCTGCTGGGGCTTCATCTGAGCCAGGGTTTTCAATGTCAGAAGTCTGCAAATAAGACCCGAAATTTATTCCTAATACCAGGACTCCTAAAAAATATGAAGTACCAGAATATATGAAGTACCAGTGGACTTGAGAGTGCCTCTAACTACATGCAGTGTGTCTCTTCTTCATTGACGAGCATATGATGAGCTTTAATAAATCCCTGGATCTTTTTTGTTTGTTTGTTTGGAAACTGGCATAAAATAAAAAACGCCTGACGAAACATGACAGCAGACGTGAAAATCGATGTGCACTTCCGACGGATATCTGCTCACAAGGGCATAGATTTCTGCAGTGTCCTGGTCTGAGCGCTTCTTCCAAATGTGTTTTCTAAGTCATGCCTTTTTAAAACCAGGACCAAAAGGTGACCCTGGAGAGAAAGGAGAAAAAGGAGAAAAAGGAGATCCCGGTGAAATCGGCTTACCTGGGAAAAATGGGACACCGGGAGAAAAAGGGTCAAGAGGGGCCAAAGGGGATAAAGGAGAAGCCAGCAACGATGTAGCGGCAGAAGGTGAGAGGAGGTGCACTTCGAGAAAGAGGAACTGAGTGACGTTAGTTTAGAACTCCGGAAAAATAGCAGAGTCTCTGTTTCCTTATATACAGAGTATTTACGCTGGACACTGGATACATATATACAGTCCTTCTGTAGCAAAATCGCTATACAAACTGGCAAAGTGCTACGCAGACAGATGATCCCACAAAAGAGATGTGTAGCACTGAACAAGCCACAATATATATGTACATTGGCCAATCAGGACATAGCAATTACTTTAGCTGACTTATGGTGACTGTTCCAGAATCTGATGCAATCTGCCAGTCACCTGACTCCTGAATGTCAGACTAGATCAGTAAGATCTGACACTGCTGCTTATGACTGACTGACATCTTGCCAGTAATATATCCAAATACTGTCACTGAGGAGCTCCCCTGGAGTGTTCTGCAGGACGTTTCCTGGGGCCATTCATCTTTTTGCCAGCATTCAGATCCTCGTGTTTAACGATGCACTTGAGTCTGCTCGTTTCCTCCTTGGAATCACTAAGGGCTGAGGTTACGTTGCAAAGTCCTTCCTTGTGTCTGTTAAGGGACGGCATGAGGACTTTTGCATCTGATCTGCAATAGGAGCTTTGTGCCTACTGGGGGACACAAAGTGTGGGGAGCAGTCATTTCAGCCTCCCCCCCCCCCTCACTGTTGTTCTCATGTCCTCAAACTACCCTGCAGAACTACTATTAGCTCCATTGCGAAAATTTGTGATTTCACGGTGGAATAAGTAGCGGCTCCACGGAGCAGTTTGTGGATATGAAAATGGCACTGTGTGTGGTAGCTGCCGCCAGAAAAGTGTTGGATGGGTGTCTAGGAGGCACAAAACTCCCACTGCGTGTCTGATACAACTTCCCAAACACGGGGACTTTGTTATGTGAAGCTTGGCCCTCAGTGACAGTAGGAAAGTCATGATCAATCAACCTCTATTCTCCTGAAGTGACGTAGAAATAATAGCTGATTCTGCATTGGCTTTTCCCTCCATTGTTTTATGCAACCCACGTTGGTACAGAAATTCCCGTCTGCATTGCATGCCGGTTTCACTTCCTTTGATCATTGGATTTTGTGATAGCCTCCACACTCCATGCTGCTTTCGCTTCCTTTGATCATCGGATTTTATTGTACCTTCTGCATAGATTCATGGCCATTTTATGGCGTTGCCCCGAGGTATTTGGATATGACTTTGAGCTACACTTTCCCCTCCCAGTTGAGAGTGTGGAGCGAATGCTAAATGCAGAATCACCCAAAAATACTGTTTGGCCTCTGAGAACATTTGTGTCTTAGGACTGTTTCACACTGCTGATTTTAGTGTCTGTCTATTTCTTTTTTCTTCTCTACCTTGTATTGTGTTGAAATATTAATCGCAAGTCATTTTTAAAATGGGGTGGGGTATACATGTCTTAAATAGCAGTAATGTGTGTATAATTGCGTATATGTAAGAGCTGCTTTTTCCTAGAGAAAAGAAGCTTTGGCAGGGACCCATGTTGCCCTGTTCAGTCTGGCTTTTTGTGCGGCTGCTTTGAAATTTAGAAAAACAGCAGCCGCTGTGGGAGAGTCCGTCACGGATCACCCACGTCTCAACCGCAACAGCCACAGATGTCTGAGCCAGTTCCTGGTTCAAGATAAGGCAGTGAAAGACACTCCCCGGAAGCTTTTGAGCTCAGGCAATCTGATGGGTCCAAAGTTGGCAGGAACTGCATGTGTTTTCCTTCTTTGCCGGCCAGAAGCAGCCATAGGAAGGCTGGTTCTCTTTCCTTTCCTGTTCTTATGGGGGCCTGTGTACCCACACAGAACAATTTATGCACACTGCATGTTAAGAGCTGTACATGGGAATTGCATGATTTCCTCTACCTAGTTTTTTTTTTTAAAAAAAAAAAACATTTTATTAGGCTATAATAAACAAAGTCAAAGATAAATCAAACCTTATATAGTTATGCATCCTACCCTCCCCCCCCCAACTCAGCTTCCCACAGTGCTCGAACCTCCTGTTCGTTTCTTAGATGTTCTTCGTCCCTCCTTTTTTTACTCATATCTATAGGTAACTTATCCCTCCATTTTTTATTCTTATATCTTTATCTATTTTTTAATATCCTTTAACCTTCAATAATTATCAAAGCAAAATAAATTGTTCCTTACATCCCAGTACGTTTCCAAATAGTCTTTAAAATCTTTCCAGTCTGCAAAGAAATCTTCTGCTTCCAAATTATTAAGTTTCCTTGTCATTTTGTCCATTTCAACCATGATTTCCTCTAGCTGATGGCTGGATGTTGGTGACAGTGAAATAGGAATGGTCTTACCTTCTACCCGCAGGTCTTCTGGCACTGTGCTTTCGAGGTGGCTTTGACATCTCTGGTGGTGCTGTGGCTCATGGGGAGGTGATCAAAGACTAAAGAATTAGTAGAACAAACTTTGAGTCCGGTGGCATCCTTAAGACCAACAAAGTTCTGTTCAATGTATTTGACTATATTTAAATTCAGATCAAAATGAGAGGGTCCGCCCCCCCCCCCCGATGGGTTATCTTGAAAACATTTCAAGCTGGAAACAATTTCGCTGTGCTAGAAACACAGAGTCGTGTGTGTGTCTTTTTAGGTGTGAAAGGTGAGCCAGGGCCTCCAGGGCCCCCTGGCCCCCCAGGGCCTCCAGGGCCTCCAGGGAAACGAAAAGCAAAAGCCCCGGTTCAAGAGAACATGTTCAGCGCCCAGTGTGTAGGTGAGTGAATCTTAAGTTCACACTGTTCTCGTCTTTGCTGCACATTGGAAACCCAAAGCTCCGCCTTGCACATTGTGTCGTGTTACTTTGGTGGGCCTTTAAAAATGTGGCTTTTGTTTTGGGTTCAGCCGTGGACCAACATGACAGCCAACCTTTTTGTCCGCTTCTGCTGATCCGTGTTCTCCCCTTGCAACCAGCCTCCGTCTTATGAAGACCGAATGGCAAACTACGTGCAACGCAGGACTTCTGCTGAAAGCGGCATCTCTGTGTCAGGTTCTTGCGTGATGTGTAATACAGTGTGGGCCATGGCATGCGTTTCTCCACTCCCATTCTTCCATGTTGCCTGGCAAGTGGGTGGGGAAATGATGGCATCGATTGGGAAACAGGCTAAATGGTCCTCTGTATTATAGGGGAGGACTCAGCACAAGAGTTCCATTTTAGGCGGCATCCCTGTTAGCAAGTAAATGGTGTCATGTTGCCTACGGTAAAGTTGTACCAAGTTCAGGAGGACTTAATGCCATTTTGTCCCGACCAGCCGAAATATTGCAAAATAGTGAACGAGGTTTTGTTGCATCCTCCAGAACTCGTGGTCCCTGAACAAAATGCGTATGTTGGGCAGAGAGCATTTCCGGTTGCGATTAAAAGATCTCCCGGTCTGCAGGTTTTAGACCCTTAAAACAGGATTAGAGGATGTGTTTAAGAACTTAATTGTTTTGATGGAGCTGGGTGCAAACAGGGTTTCAAGATACGTTGGAACAGAGAAGCAATTTCTGCTGGAAATTAATCTGCTTTGTTAATATAAGGACCAGGGGTCATTTCCTGCAGGAGCACACAGGAGCGGAGCTCCTGCAGTAAACAGCCCAGGGGGCGGGCACATGCAACAAGCCCCACCCCCTGCTCCCAGCAGCCCTCAGTTAGAGCAAGAAGCAGCCAGGTAAGTTGCAGAGCTCCACCCGGCCCCCCGGTCCAAAACAGTCCAGTGGCACCTTGAAGACCAATTTTTTTTCAGGTACAGGCTCTCCCTCCTCTGCGAGGACAGATCTGCATGCCCCCCCCCCCCCCGGCAATAGCTAGCAATCCAAAACAGTCCAGTGGAGCCTGAGCGGTGGGTGTTGCCTTCTGACATACTTCCAGTGATGTCAAGGGGTGTGACATATGCAAATAAGTTATGCTAATGAGCTCCTGCACCTCTTTTTCTATGAAATGACCCCTGATAAGGACTATCACTTTCCCACTCCCCTGTTATCTGCTTTACAGGGGACCGGTGTGTTCTGTTTAGTATAGAGGAAAATCAGGACTTCTCCATTCTTTTGGTGTATCTCAGAATCCATTTTGCACCATCTGATTAAATTTGCAGCCACAACTTCGAATCCATTTGAAGCCTCTACAAACTGCAGAGGATGGGGCTTCATCGTCACACGTGTAATATCTTTCTCTCCCTCTTCTCCTTCCCCTCTTGGATTTTTGTACTGAATTGACAAAGGGTCCCTGGGGAATTCAAAAGCTTGCTGCCTATTCAGTGATATTTTGGTTCATCATTTGGACATGTTCTAGCATTGCTGCTTACGAGATTTATGAAAGAAAAGAGCAAGAGTCCAGGAGCATCTTAAAGATGAACAACATTTGTGGCAGGGTAGGAGCTTTCGGGAGTCACGGCTCACTTCTTCAGATACAGCTGGAATTGGAGTGTGTCTGTCCTTATATCTTGGAGAGTGGAGTGATTTCTGATGCCGAATGACAATAGCAGGTGAATGACAATAGCAGACGTGATTGGATTAGGTGTGATATGCAGAGGGGTAGTAGGCGTGGAGAAATCGGCATTGGTAATGAGACATAACATCTCAGGTTCCTACTTCTGCTCATCCTCTAGTGTGATTTATGCCATCATGTGTCAGCAATGCCCTTCCACCCTCTACATTGCACAAACAGGCCAGCCCCTGTGACAAAGAATAAATGGACATAAGTCTGACATTAGAAACCACAACATTAAAAAACCAGTGGGGGAACATTTTAACCTTCCAGGACATTCAATTGCTGGCCTAAGAGTAGCAGTTCTCTTACAAACGAATTTCAAAGGAAGATTAGAAAGAGACACTGCTGAATTGCAACTGATAACAAAGTTCAAGACAATGCATCCTCCTGGACTGAATCGAGACCTAGGTTTCCTGTCTCATTACCAATGCTGATTTCTCCATGTCTACTACGCCTCTGCATATTATACCTAATCCAATCACGCCTGCTATTGTAGTTCAACTCATGTTGTCATTTGGCATCTGAAATCACTCCACACTCCTGTTGGATCCCCAAGCATCGAGAATAAATCCACGTTTTCAAGAAAAGCAAAATTTATTTCAAAGCGTTGAAGACATACTCAAACACGTTCTTTGTTAGAACTGGGGATACACAGTTAGGTCAAGCATAATAAAGGAACTTCAAACAGATACAGATCCAATGAATAGCTTTCCCGCTGGTGGGCTAATGAAACGGTTGCGCGCCCAGTCCATGGGAACCAGGCAGAACATCAGACAAAACACAGGTGCAGTACTCATGGGAAAAGCAATAGGCAAGCATTACAGCATCTTCTCCCCCACACAACCTCCAGCAGTTATCTTGTGCATTCCAACGCAGGAGCAGGATGATAGAAACCAAGCCGGGTGCAACAGGGAAAGGATATGTACACAGAGGTCACAGAAAACAGAATGGCAGCTTGCTGACAACTCCAAGACAGAAGGACAGACGGACTTCCATTCTTGCTGTATCTGAAGAAGTGAGTAGTGACTCCCTGCCACAAATGTTGTTAGTCTTTAAGGTGCTCCTGGACGCTTGCTCTTTTCTGCTACTACAGACAGACTAACATGGCTACCCATCTTGACCTGTCTATAAGATTTATGGGTGCTGTTTGTTGGAGGAGGGAAACAGATCTGGAAAGCTCAGCGCAGTCTTGGAGTATTTCACATCTTGATCCATATCTATTTGGTACATCTTGCCCTTCTTCCAAAGACCTCAGAGCATACATGGTTCTCCTGTCCTCATTTTGTTATCACAACAATCCTGTGAGGTAGGTTAGATCGAGAGCGAACAACTGGTCTAAGTACACTGAGTAAGCTTCATGGTGGAGCAGGGATTTGAACTTGGGTCCGCTTGATTCTAACCGTAACCACTATCCCACATCAGCTCTCCCATTTGTAATTCTGTAAGAGTGACAGAAATAGGTTCCTTCAAAGGGGGAAAAAACAAGCTGATGGCGTTTCCCTCCTGTGCTTTGTGCTGTCAGTTTTCTCTCACTTTCATGGGTCTCTGTGGGAAACAGTGGAAGCGGCAGGGAAGTAAACAAGTTTAATGTTACTGCTGCATCGATGCTAGAAGAAGCAGGATAAAGAGAGGAAGCGATCCCCTTGGTTGGGCCATCTGGAAATACCGCCCAAGAATTTTAAGCCTTTTTGAAAAGGCTGTTATGTAAAGGCTTTCTTTTCTAAGTTGTAATTATACCTCAAATACTTTGGCCACCAAATGAGAAGGGAGCACTCACTGGAGAAGACCCTGATGCTGGGAAAGATTGAAGGTCAAAGAAGACGGGGACGGCAAAGGATGAGATGGTTAGACAGTGTCATAGATGCAACAAACATGAAACTGAGCAAACTTCAGAGGACAGCAGAAGACAGGAGGGCCTGGCGGGATCTGGTCCATGGGGTTGCGAAGAGTCGGACTCGACTGTGCGACTGAACAACAACAAATTATACCTTGGTGATCAAAACGAGGGAGGGAAGGGGGCATGGCGTAGCCCAATTTCACCAGATCTCAGAAACGAAGAAGGATTGTTACTGGGATGGGAGACCACCAACGGAGGCTGTGCAGCAGGAGGCCATGGCAAACGACCTCTGCTTCTGACTTACTTTGAAGGCCCCTTGCTGGGGTTACCATAAGTCAACTCACAGTGGCCAGGAAGTATGGGAATGGAGGGCGGGGGCAGTGCTGGCCAGCGAGGTCACATGGTACTGGGCACAGTGTGGGAATGCCGTGGGCCTTGCTGGCGACACGAGAGAGAGAGAAAGGTACGAAAAATAAAAAATGGGAAGTCGGGGGACCTTGGTGGGAAGTCGGGGGGCTGGGCCCTGAGAGGCCCCACTGTAGCTATGGGCCCGCTTACATATGATCAAGAGACTGGTCATAGTAAACATTGGGGGGGGGGGAGTGAGGCCCTGCATGCTCTGTGACATTGTTGACAGCAGAGACCACTGTTTTGGCTCAGTAGACAGAGCGCAGGCTCTGGATGTAGGAGGTCGCAGGTTCAACCCCTGACATCTCCTTTCCTGAGCCTGACACTCTCGAGAACCAGCAGCCATTAAGTGTGAATGATACTGCTCTACACTGACCAGTGGCCTGACTTGATATAAGACAGGCTCCTTGATTTCCCGACAGATCAGGGGCGCAATCTGTGCCACCCGCTCTTAATTTTTAACCTCCTCGCCCTAGTTGGTGTGCTGTCTCTGGCAGGCCTGGCTCCAGGTCTTTTTGTACACTAGGCGAGGCTACCTTTTTGGCGGCCCCCACCAATTATGGGGTTGCCAACCTCCAGGCGGGGCCTGGAGAGAAGGAAGACTTTCTTCCAGGTCCTCGGTCAGTTGATAGCAAAGACAGCAGTGTGGCTCCCTGGCTTCCCAACTGGATGAAAGACCCTCTGATTCCCTTGGGGGCTTGGTTCCAAGCAGCAACCATGCACTGGCTCGGGCCCCCACCCCCACCAGCTCGGAAGACAGGCCCCGACCGCGGCTTGGGACCCCTGGCGTCCTGGAAGTGCCGGTGCCATGCAGCCTCCCTTCTGGGAGCGCGCACGAAGTGGATCGCTCGGGCCAAGGGGAGGAGAAGCAGGCAGGCAGGCAAGCAGCTGTGGGTGGCAACCGCAGTTGGAATAGAGAGTCCAAAGAAGCCTAGTGCAAGGACAGCGGGAGGCATCCAGAAGTTCAGGCAGGCGAGGCTTTGTAACGTATACACACACACAC